GCTTATCCTTTTTTTCTCTATTTTCCTCTTTTATTATGACTAAGTCTTCATTTTCGTAAAGAACAATATTGTAATAATGTTCATTTCATTCAATAATTATAATAAAGAAAACCTTAAAAAAATACTGTTATTTATTAGGTTCGAGAATTAAGATTACTGAAATTTCTCTTTCATTCATCATTTTGATTGAAACTGTTGCATATTTTCCAAATTGTGTATAGTTATGCCATCTGCTTACGTAAAAGTGAGAAGTGAAACAAATTTTAGGTTTATATACTACTATACAAAATGGTAGTATTTTCACGAAATATATTTTTCACAAAAGAAAAAATAGAATCGGAATAGGATTTCAAGTGATGGAATACTTTGATGTAGGCTTCAGCAATAACCTTTATTTAAATAAAAATGTAACAATGTCTTCAATTCTTTAATTTAGATACAACAACCCTATATTTCATAGCAATCAGAATATCCGTTTTCTTGCAACTTCTACATCGACCCAAAATTTTGGTTATATCGGTGTTTTAGTGTGTTCTCCAAATAGAACTAATAGCTAGAAGAAATTCATGAAGAATAATAAATATATGTATTTTTTTTTTGTTTATACAACAATAGAAATCGGCTTTGTTGGTTTTCACTTTTTATTTGACTGAGCATTGGTGTAAAGTACAGATTATACAAACACAAAGAAGAAGATTACATACACATTCTTTGACACTGTGAAAAGGCATAAATAGCTGGGGACAGACTTTCTATTACCACAGGTCATCAGACAAACTCCAACAAAACTGCTAATCTTTCTACATACCACAGCCTGCACTAAACTTTACTACTAACAGCATATCAGTCACAAGACCTGAAGGAATTGCAGCACCGCTTTTTATACAATATAATTATTTGTTCATTTTCTTATATTTANTCTCGAAAACGGATCGAGATACCGAAATGAAACAAGAGTACATAATTAATGGAAATATGATTGCTCTCTCAGGTTTTGAATCAAGTTTCATGTTAAATATACAGGGTAAAAAGTTATTAACTAAATTTTCGGTAAAATTGATCATAAGTGGCGCCTTCTATGAACAATGCTAAAATTACAACACGCATCTTATTCGCCGCCTAAAAAAATATAGTTTCACAAATTTTCAAGTTCTTAACCTGCATATTTTCAGAATAATCGCAAAAAAACGATTTAAAATTTTAATTTTCAACACCCTGTATTTCCGAAACTACCAACTTTCGGATAAGGCATGTTTGCGCCAATGGTCACCATTTCACGTGTGGTATCTTCAGCTTTCGACTTTCCCATTGTTAATAATTTCTAAAATAGGGTTCCAAACTTCTGCTGCGTTTATAACTCATTAAAATAAGCCAAAAAGTTCATATTAACATGTGCCCTAAAACGCACCCTTAGAAAGTTATATGCCCTTAAAAGGGCTCAAACGAAACTGTTTTTTTTCTGTTATTGACAAAACGGTCGCAAATAAATTGAAAAAAATGTATGGGTCTTACATAACATTTTACGTTAAATACCATGGGCTACTCCGTTTTTCGACATGCAAATCATATGCGTCCCATTTAGGTTGGTGAAGGGGGTTTTCGGCCCGTATTTTTTTTTATTTCAATTTTTTACAATTTTCTCTACAGATTTGTAAAATCTTAACAATTTTACGTAAAAAATATTATCTTTGTCCAAATCGATATTTCCAATGGTCAAAAATTACAAAAATCTGTTTATCATGGCAAATAAAAGACTGATGTTGCCACAACGCTTAACAATTTAAGTTATTAATAAACTGTCAATTGAGCTTTGCAGTGTTTTATTAGTAAAAAAGTAAACCCTTGGATTGTCCTGCACAGCTCTCAATACATTTTCTTCCATCACCGGTGTTCTCACAAATCTGTCTCTGCCATGATCATTTACTCTTGGTTGGAACGAACCATTTTCTTTTAACCGTTGATGGATCCTCTGAAATACCTGTCGAGAAGGACAGTCGGCCGTACATAAAGTGCATATCTGCCATTTCCGTGTTTGAATATGACTCCATTTTATGAGTTGCAATAATGTTGTATACTTAAATTTTCCACTCACCACTTTTACTAATTAAACACTGCAAAGCTCAATTGACAGTTTATCAATAACTTAAATTGTTAAACGTTGCCATGGTAAACAGATTTTTGTAATTTTTGGATTAATAACTTAACTCAATTTACTCGAAAACCATTGGAAATATCGATTTGGACAAAGATAATATTTTTTACGCAAAATTGTTAACATTTTATAAATCTGTAGAGAAAATTGTAAAACAATTGAAATAAAAAAATTACGGGCCGAAAACCCCCTTCACCAACCTAAATGGGACGCATATGATTTGCATGTCGAAAAACGGAGTAGCCCATGTTATTTAACGTTAAAAGTTATGTAAGACCCATAATTTTTTTTCTATTTATTTGCGACCGTTTTGTCAATAACAGAAAAAAAACAGGTTTGTTTGAGCCCTTTTAAGGGCATATAACTTCCTAAGGGTGCGTTTTAGGGCACATGTTAATTAGAAACTTTTTGGCTTATTTTAATGAGTTATAAACGCAGCAGAAGTTTGGAACCCTATTTTAGAAACACCCTGTATAGCGATACGTAGGGGTGGCGCGTGAGCACTAGCGGCCGAAATTCAACTGCAAATTTAACGGGTTAAAAAAGGGGCGGGTTTAAAAAAATACTACATTAAAGTATAAGTCTCGAGGAGCAATCTGCGCTTTTGAACGTTCCGAAGGATTTGGTAGGAGCTGAGATATGAATTTTTAAAGTTGGCAACTTTTAGCCATTTTTCGACTTTAAATCTCCCCTAGCTCGAAAAGGAAGCGTTTTACGAAAAAATGTCAAGGGGCAAAAAGTGTTTATTTTTTCCCAGTTTACCTTAAATAGCAATCTTTGCAGTGTTTTTTGCAATATTTTTATTTTGCAACTTTTTTGTTAATAACAAATTACCTGCCACTTGGACACAAAAATGTCACTTAGGTTTTTTGTTCGCAATAACTCAATGCATCGATTACAAAATGTTTCATCCTGGCCCCTCCTCGTGGTCGGTGACCTTGATTTTCTAAGCATCTTTTTAGGGGTGGANGGTAAACAGATTTTTGTAATTTTTGGCCTAATAACTTAAAAAGCAGAGTAATTTTCAAACTCAATTTACTCGAAATCCATTGGAAATATCGATTTGGACAAAGATAATATTTTTTACGTAAAATTGTTAAGATTTTATAAATCTGTAGAGAATATTGTAAAAAAATTGAAATAAAAAAAATTACGGGCCGAAAACCACCAACCTAAATGGGACGCATATGATTTGCATGTCCAAAATCGGAGTAGCACATGTTATTTAACGTAAAAAGTTATGTATACATTTTTTTCTATTTATTTGCGACCGTTTTGTTAATAACAGAAAAAAAACATTTTGGTTTGAGTCCTTTTAAGGGCATATAACTTCCTAAGGCTGCGTTTTAGGGCACATGTTAATAGAAACTTTTTGGCTTATTTTAATGAGTTATAAACGCAGCAGAAGTTTGGAACCCTATTTTAGAAACACCCTGTATANAAGGCTGCGTTTTAGGGCACATGTTAATAGAAACTTTTTGGCTTATTTTAATGAGTTATAAACGCAGCAGAAGTTTGGAACCCTATTTTAGAAACACCCTGTATAGCGATACGTAGGGGTGGCGCGTGAGCACTAGCGGCCGAAATTCAACTACAAATTTAACGGGTTAAAAAAAGGGGCGGGTTTAAAAAAAATACTACATTAAAGTATGTCTCGAGGATCAATTTGGGCTTTTGAACTTTCCGAAAGCTTTGGTAGGAGCTGAGATATGAATTTTTAAAGTTGGCAACTTTTAGCCATTTTTCGACCTTAAATCGCCCCTACCTCGAAAAGGAAGCGTTTTACGAAAAAATGCCAAGAGACAAAAAGTGTTTATTTTTGCCCAGTTTACTTTAGAAAATTGTTTGCAGAGCGTTTTTTTGCAATATTTTTATTTTGCAACTTTTTTGTTAATAACAAATTACCTGCCACTCGGACACAAAGATGTTACTNCCCTTTTTTCAAAAGTTGGATTACTTATGTCATTTCCAATACTGCCAATGAATATAAAGGTGGAGTGACGTACCAGGTTAAATTTAACTAAATCGTTGTTCAGCTTACAGCTCTCTGATTCAAAATGTATTGTATTTGTAATATACCTCGACACATTATCGTTAATTATTCAAATAAATCTCGTATTGAACTTCATGGATTTTACGACACTTACGAACACAGTTATGCCGCTGTAACTTATATTCGACGTTTTCATAATAATAAATACTTATTCTATTAATTTTATTTGTGCGGAATCTCGGTTAACTCCTCTAAAAACAATGACTATACCAATTTACCCAGGCTTCAGTTGTGCACTGTCATTCTATTATCAGATTTGATAGATTTTATTATTGAAAGTTATATAATATCTCTTTTCAAAAGATATTATATGCATGGACTAACCCTTCAGTTACGCCTGTTTGGAAGAAATTTCATTGTCATTAGTGAAAATCATTTATTAGTAAGTAGTAATATACAGAGAACTTTTAAACAATTCTTTATGGTGAGCCGCACCAGCTTTTCCAATGGAGACTGGCCTCAACCAAAATTAAATTATCCTAATGACTGTTTAGTACTTTCTGAAGAAAGAAAGAAAACTTTTTTATGCATCACAAAATAATGAATATAATATTTTAAATGTTTTATTAATCGAGCATTCATCCTTAGATTAAAAAATACGAATTTACTGTTACATTTTACGATTTTCCAACAATTGTTGGTTTCCCAAAAACAAAATAACAACATTTTCCATATGAAGAAATTCACGACTCCCTACTTGTTTTGGTTAAACTTTTCTTCTTAAAATGAAGTCCTATCCAAGAACTTACCCCACTCCGATGTGATAATTTTTTTATATATATTTGTTTTTAATTTTTAGGTACTATTCTGGCCTTTTGTGGTTCATTTGGTGTTACCGCTGGAGCTCACAGACTCTGGACCCATCGTTCTTACACGGCAAATGTTCCTCTAAGAGTTATTTTGACTGTGTTTGACACAGTGGCTTTTCAGGTTCGTTAAATCACTGATGCGTAATTTATCTTTAAATTCAAATACAAATCCAAATACAGGGTGATTTTGAATAGAGTAGCACAAACGCTACCAGTGCATCTAGATGAAAAAATAAGGCGAATGAACTAAACATACCTTAGACAAAAGTTGCACTCCTGAGGCATTACAGGGTCTTGAATGTTGTAGAGCCAACCAATATTTTCTTCAATTTATCTTGAACGATGTGGCGTAAATCATTTATATTTGGTACAGACATTTGTCCAGTGCGGACACATACTTCCTATTAAAATTGTTTAAATATATCCACCAGAGACGCTGCTGTCGACTACATGCAACATATTACTCCAAAGAATTTTTCACCCTGTATGAAAATACATATCTTATTTACATTTTCGGACGTAACAACTAAAAACAAACATTTTTTCTCTCTTGTATTTTTTCGATAAACGCGATAGTTTTTTTAGATAATTTACGAAAAACAAACTTCGGAAATTTTACAGCGTCAATGGTTGCAGTAACAAACACATCAACACACCATTCTGTAATAGCAAAAAAACGCCTTTCTCGTAAAGTAATTTTAATAAATTTATTTAGGAGTATTCTTTATGTAACAAATAAAATTATTTTAAGTGTCTAATTTAAGTAATAATATCTAATTTAATACTACCTACTGTAATCTCGAATGTAATACTACAACATAACGTTATTTTAAAGTAAAAATTTTATAAAGAATATTTTGAAAGTAGTTCCCACTTTCCTTTGAACACAATCTAACACGATTTGTTTGAGGATTTCCTGCTTAAATTGATAAGTATGGGAATACTTCGCCAACATCATAGTTGCTCCTGGTAAATCGGAAACAAATTTGCTGAGTAAACAATTTGCTATTTTTGTGTTGATGTGTCAGTGTCATCAACGGTTTCAAATAATAGTTGTTTAATTATGGCAAATTTTACTAACAATGAGTATGTTGATATGCTCCAAGTATTTTTTGAATGTCACAAAAATTGTGCTGCCGCAACAAGATTGTA